CTATCACATCACCATCATCCATCACAGATCCTCCACACAGTATCTTCTTCACTGTCTTCAAATAACAAACTCACACATACAGTATATTTTACGATCGAGTTTTTTCTATACTAAAACGAGAGAGAGAGAGAGAGAGAGAGAGAGAGAGAGAGAGAGAGAGAGAGATTTTACCAACAGTAGCTTCCGGTGTGGTAAGTCTAGATTATTCAAAGATGCCTCGTTCATGAGATTCCTCCTCCTCAAGTCCTCCTCTCAATCCTCCTTCTCTACGTTATTTTCCGTCTCTCCTCCTCTTCTCCATCCTTCTCCTCCCCATATTAGTAACAGGGATATATTACAACAGGTAACCATTAAAGCAATCAACAGGTAACCATATCAGGGTTGACCATTGAACAACTGATCCCATGTTATATGTGTAGGAGAACATGGAACGCCAAGTGAACTCTTAGAGACTGACAAGAGCTGAAGAAGAGAGCTGACTGAGGCTCTTGAGTTTTTTATCTTGACTTTCTGGCTAACAGCATCCGGGCTCTCTCTCTCTCTCTCTCTCTCTCTCTTTTTTGTTTTCTCCTCCCTCCTCAATTGCTCTCTCTCTCTCGTTGTTTTATCGTTCTCTCACCTCTGATATGTTTGGCGTGTCGCGGCCATAGTAGATGTTCCTTCTCAATTTCCAGAATCCGGGAGGAGGGAGGGACATGTGAGTCTTCTTTCGTCTTAATCCTCCTCCTCCCTCCTCCCTCACCCTTGACATCAATTTAACAATTGTTATTGTACACCCAAATTAACACTACCTTTTAACTATTAACTCCCTTTCCCCTTACTTCTTCAATTCTTCCTCTCTCCCTTTCTCCCCTCTCACCTCGACATCCCCCCTCTCACTCGACCACCCCCTCTCCCACACACCACACTATATTACATTAACTAATTAGGACATCACCTGTATCATATTGTAACCCTATGGACTATTACTGTACCTGTAACTTAACCTTAAATGACCATTTAATGATGTTAGTTAATTTTAGTTCTAAATTAGTGTACTGTAGTTAGGTAGTTTGTTAAATACAGTTCTAAGTTAATGTATTTGTAACAGTTGTATGGTACAGTCACTGTGTGTAACTTTTGGTGTGTGTGTGTGTGTGTGTGTGTGTGTGTGTGTGTGTGTGTTTTTCTCTGCTTTTGAATTAGACAGATACAGGTACAGGCCCAGAAACAGTCACAAGTACTCAAACACAAACACACAAACACTTTCTGGGATTTTCTAACACACAAACAGCAAAATAAAACACAAACCAGAATTCCATTTACCATAACACTGCTGGTGGTGGTGGTGGTGGTTGGTGATTCACTGACGGAGCCGCGACAAAACTGAGTGAGTGAGTCAGTGAGTGAGTCAGTGAGTGAGTCAGTCCGTCAGCTAGTCAGTGAAAATACAAAAACCAGGTAATTAATTAGTTTGGCACTGACTGAGGGAAGGTAAGCGTGGAGGAGAGTGCCGCCGACCACCTCGATAGTGCCACGAGCCCAACTGAGCTGAACTGCCTTGCCTGCCCCACTACCTACCTCCCTGGCCTGGCACTCTGGACGCCGTGCCCCCACCACCACCACCTCCCTGGAGTGATGGGCGTAGATGGTTCGCGAACCTCGGAATAACTTATAATCTTTGGTCGCTTTCTGATGTGTCTGTCTGTCTGTCTGTCTGTCTGTCTGTCTGTTGTGTCCTGTCGTGCCTGTTAGTTATTTTTACCGTACTTGCTTCCGCTCACCTGAAGATTACACACCCTAACCTAACCTAACCTAACCTTACCTATACTAATCTATACTCAGGTGAAATATAAACTAGGGTGCCAAATCTTCAAGTAAAAGAGGAAAAGAAAGAAGTAGGTGGAAGGGAGGGTAAGGAGGGAGATGGGAGAGAGAGAGAGAGAGAGAGAGAGAGAGAGAGAGAGATATTACCAATATTAAGTCAACCACATTTTTATCTTCCCAGTAAAACAAACAATTATAAAGAAAAACTGAAGTGCAGGAATAACACACACACACACACACACACACACAAAACACACATATCGAGTGTTGTTGCGTCAGACAGCTCTATATCTGTCTATCCTAACTGACAAACTAACAAGGTTCTTTTCATAGAGGGTAAGTGTAGTTATGAAGTGTTATAGGTAAAGGGTTATAGGTTGTTAAGTGTTATAGGTAAAGGGTTATAGTTTGGTAAGAGTTATAGGTAAGAGTTAATGATGAGCACAAATGGAGAAAATTGGTAGTTATGACAGACAAAACAACACTTCGCAAGGTAAACAATAACGGGAATTAGTGTCAGAAAAGGTCAATTTCCCATCAAAATACAATATATACATTATTATTATTATTTCGTATTATCATCAATTCTCTCTTACGTCACCACTACCAGTCACTGAAGGTCAACTGGTCCGAGAAGGGATAAAGAAATTGCACAATATAACTGGTAAACATCAATAATGACCTCATGACGTCACTTCTGTTCGTGGATTTCCTCTGACGTCACTCCCAAAACGCAAACTTGGCGGAAAAATTAAAATTCGACGAATTATTATAGAAGACGGGATTTTCAGGTCATCCATGCATTTTTCCCCGTAGCTGGAGACAAAAACACCTATCCATACTGCCTCGAGTATCTGGGAGGTATTTTGACGTAATTTCCGCTGCTTTCTGCGTTTAGAGCCATCAAGATAGGTGCGTTCTTAAGTGGCTATGAGAATCCAAGCATTGAATCCGCATTCTTAAGGACTTTACGATAATTGTTCGCCGTAAATGAAAATGGATGATGGATTGATGGTATTTTACCGCATTTACTTCAAGTTATTATAATTGTAGACAGTAATTCAAATGGCTTCAAAATGTACACCCTCAATTCTAAGAGACATTTTGGACCCCAGAAATGAGTGTTGAAGGACTTAATTTATTTATGAAGTCAATTGATGATAAGACACCTCAGTTTACTTCACCTGATGATGGAATACCTTGACGCTAGGGAGTCTGGTTAGATTAGGTTAACATTAGAGTAATTAACCCTTTGAGGACGATGATTTAACCCTTCAGGAGTCAAAGGTAAATAACATAGAGAGCTCTGAGAACACTAACACACACAGGTATATATAGGAGTGTTTCATGACGTCACAATGGTATGGCCGTGTGTGTGTGTGTGTGTGTGTGTGTGTGTGTTTGGTCAACATATAATGTAGTGGTGTAACCTTGGCCGTCTCCTGTTACCCCCCTCCCTTCACCACCCCCTCACATACACACACGCCCATACACACATGTCGGCACACACACACACACACGCACACACACCTGTCTTTTACAGTACTCTGGCTATGTCCTTAATCACCTAGCGTGCTAAATGTCATAAAGGTAACTCACACAGGTAACTCAGCACAGGTAATTCACGTAACTAATTCACACAGGTAACTCACAATCAACTCATAAAGGTATATAGCTCATAAGTTATTCAGACGCTACTCACACGTGAAAGAGAGAGAGTGTGCCTTACAGACGCCAGACCATGACACCGTTAAATGGGGAAGACCATGCAGTTTCCTGTGGTATGTAGAAGATAAAGATGTGACGCTACTACTACTACTACTACTTCCATTACTGCTACTACTATAACATCTTCTACTGTTACTACTACTAATAATAATAACAATAGCTGTATCGAACACTAATAACAATAACTTACAAACAATAACACGTTGCTAGACACTAGTTGGCCAAAATTTCCCTGACTTTTCTCCCTAAAACCCCCCCCCTCCCCCCGAAGAAAATAAATATTAAAAACAAAATTATAATACTTGTTTTGTTTTTGTGTTTTTTCTTGGTATATTTATTTTGTCTTCAGTTCTTTGCTTCGGGAAGACAATTATGACGAGATAATATGTGTCTTTAAGAATCTGGAAATTGCCCCACGAGGGTAAAACGCTGATGAAATATTCCCTGAATCCAGACAATCATAGTTGACTCAGGATAATACTTAACCTAACTTCACCAAAACTAACTTAACCTTACCTAAACTAAACTTAACCTAACTTATCCTAAACTAACTTAACCTTACCTAAACTAAACTTAACCTAACTTCACCTAAACTACCTTAACCTTACCTAAACTAAACTTAACCTAACTTAACCTAAACTAACTTAACCTTACCTAAACTAAACTTAACCTAACTTAACCAAACCTAACTTTACCCAAGGAAGCTTAATCTAACTTAGTCTAGCTTACCGTAAAGAAACCTAACTTAAGGAAGGAGGGTTTCAAGAGGGCATATTACACCCAGAGATAAGGAAGGAAGGTTTCCGAAGGAGGTTTCCACGAGAGAGAGAGAGAGAGAGAGAGAGAGAGAGAGAGAGAGAGAGAGAGAGAGAGAGAGACCTACCTACCTTGTTTCCATTATCAGTTTTCAATATTCCACATTAAATTTGACTCAGGTACCGGTGGCCCCTTGTACCGCTGGGAGCCATAACACTGGAAGGGTATTTGGCAGTATTTCACTTCGCCCCTCTGGTCATCACGACATGATACACGACACGACATACGACACGACATGACACACGGCACGACATGATACACTACACTACATGATACGACAAAAGACTACACGACACGACACATGATACGATGATACGACAAAAGACTACACGACACGACATGACACACGGCACGACATGATACACTACACGACATGATACGACAAAAGACTACACGACACGACACATGATACGATGATACGACAAAACACTACACGACACGACATAACACTACACGACACGACATGATACGACAAAACACTACACGACACGACGCTACACTACACTACACAACATGATACGACAAAACAAGACACTACACGAACCTAAGTCAATCTGGTTTTGTCATGTTCTCTGTTGTGTTCTGAACTGGTGTGTGTGTGTGTGTGTGTGTGTGTGTGTGTGTGTGTGTGTGTGTGTGTGTGTGTGTGTGTGTGTGTGTGTGCAATAATAATAATAATAATAATAATAATAATAATAATAATAATAATTAACGGTTTATTGAAAGAGCTTGGCAACCAGAAGGCTGAAAATATACAGTTACATATTTGGGGAATGGGTTTCGAATTACAAATAATATACAAGTAACACAAGTGACACAAATAAGATGGGGAAAAGCTCAAACTACAGTGTATTTCAACATAGTGACAGTGCAAGAAGTAGTATTTACTGGTAGTGAATACACTGGTTTATTACAAGTTATTGATAATTTTTACAATGATTGGGACTGGGCTGTTCTTATAGCGATCAGTTCGTGCACGTATGGGCTGGATGCGGTTGTGGTGTCGAACAGCAATTCTGGCTAGGGAGATCTCAGGTGGTAGAGCGGTGTCGAGGATGGTGTAGAAGCTTACTAAATTTGCAGATGAGGTCGTGGTGATGGTCAGTGAGAGTCGAAAGGGTCAGTGTTGAGCACTTGGCAGGGGAGTAGAATGGGAGAGAATCTATTCTTGCATTCCTCTTTTGCACTTTTTTTCTAGGTGTTTACGTTGTGTGGCATTTAGGGAGGAAGACCAGGTGGGGAGGCATAGTGAGCTTGGGAAGTATGAATGTTGTGTAAACACTGAGGAGCTTGGGTGCAGGAACCTGGAGGACTTGAGTCGGCGGAGGAGGTGGAGACGGAAACTGGAGGATTTGGACAACTTTCACTGACGTGTGGTTTCCAATTTAGTTTTTGTTGTCTATGGTGACGCTGAGAGCTTCTGTGAATCTACAACCTGGAGGTAAGCCCGGACTCCAAAATAATGGAAAGGAGGTGGGACAACAAATGGAGGAGAGGAAGGATGTGCATAACCATGGTCTTGGTATGGTTGATGGTGACATGGTTGTTGGTGGCCCAGTTTGGGAGACTGTTCAATAAATCCTGAAGGGCGGTATAGTCGGGAGCAGAATTGTTGACACTGATCCCAATGGTGGAGTCGTCGACATATTTCCAGCGAGCAGGGTTTTCAAGGCATCATTGATGAGCATAAGGAAGCAGAGTGGTCCCATCTTTGGTGCCTTGGGGACGCCACAGGTAAGTGACTGAAAGGTGGAGACAGCCCCTCGGAAGCGTACAGCTTGGCGTCGGTCACTGAGGAAGTCTGTAAGCCATGGTATAAGACTTCTCCGAAGCCCGAGGTCAATAGCTTTGTTGATGATTATATTGTGGTCGACTAGGTCGAATGCTTTAGTGAAATCAATGAAGGCGACAGCTACAGACGTTTTTCGTTTCTCGAGATGGCGGTATATGTAATCGAGAAAGCTGACAAGACAGTGAGTGGTGGAGGAAGTTTTCATATTGCCAAATTGCTGAGGGTCTACGATTGCAGTAGGTCGTAGCTGATTTAAGGATTGTGGGCTGGTTGACTTGGGCACTGGTGATACATTAGAGATCTTCCAGTCAGCTGGGCATCTGGCTTGACTGAGAGAAGCATTGATGATGGAGCAAAGGGGTTTAGCAAGCTCCGGGGAGAACTCCTT